GCCACCAAAAGTCACCCTAAGGAATCTCCTGCCTTCCAGATATAATCTTCATTACCTCCATTGTGGAGAACAAGTCCAATTTCCCCCTGGTAGTCTGGGTCAATCACCCCTCCTAATACTGTTATTCCTTTCTTAGCCTGCTGACTTAAGGGCATCAGAAGCCCAAAATGTCCAAGGGGGAGTCTTAGCTTCCAGTTCAATGGAATGTTTATTGTCTCTCCTGGCAGAAGCACTCCCTCTTCTGGAACCAAAACATCCAAGCCAGTAGAGTGCAAAGTTGAGGGTACAGGAAGCAAAAATTTTCATAGAGGGTCACCAGGGGTGATAGTGAGTGGAATCATTCCCACTTCCACCCCTTGATTCCTGGACCCATGAATCCTGGCTATAGGGGAAACTGTACCATATATTGGATGCTGATTCAAAGCATCCAATTCAATTCTTCCTTCTGGAGGACCCTGCCCCAGTCCTCCAGGCTATTGCCACCTAATTGGCGCTGTAACTGTGTCTTTAAGAGGCCATTCCATCGTTCTATCAAGCCAGCTGCTTCAGGATGGTGGGGAACATGGTAAGACCAGTGGATTCCATGACCATGGGCCCACTGTCACACTTCTTTGGCTGTGAAGTGAGTTCCCTGGTCAGAAGCGATGCTGTGTGGAATACCATGATGGTGGATAAGGCATTCTGTAAGTCCCTGGATGGTAGTTTTGGCAGAAGCATTGTGTGCAGGAAAGGCAAATCCATAACCAGAATAAGTGTCTATCCCTGTAAGGACAAAACGCTGTCCCCTCCAAGATGGAAGTGGTCAAGTATAGTCAACCTGCTGCCAGGTTGCAGGCTGGTCGCCACGGAGAACAGTGCCATATCAGGGGCTCAGCGTTGGTCTCTGCTGTTGGAAGATTCCTCCGATTCTGAGGATTCAAAATCCTCAGCCTCCTCAGGGTTCTCCCACACATCTCCATCCCAGTGTCAGGATTCCAATCTTTCCCTACCAGTGCCCTCACCTTTACTACTGACACCCTTCAAGGCTAGAAATTAAATTTGCTTTGTAAGTCAGCCAAACGTATAATAAGGGCTCCAGCTTGATTTTCTGCAGCTTTAGCTCTCTGGCTGCTGGAGAGAAGATTCTCTTCCAGTGCACACTTGGAAACTTTTAAAGTGTTGATTCGAATCTGGAGCTTGTCAATTTTATCATTAAGCTCATTGTTTATCTTCATCACCTTATCCAGAGATGCTAGAAGTAATCAGCTAGCATCATTACTTTTCTTATTTTTCCATAAATCATTAAATGTTTTATGTATAGATGTTGTGGGTTCTCCTCAGGCCAGCTGTGAAGACCTTAACCTGGATTGGGTCCCCTGCTGATTGAGGGGGGTAAGAGGCATTACTGCTCAGATTTAATATTTTCATATAAAATATTTGTTCGTATATGCATATATACATATAAATCATTATGTCATTTATCTACTTAGAATTGGCATATTTCTATTTTATAATTTCCAGGAATCAACATATCAAGGATCTATATTAGTCAGGGTTCTCCAAAGAAACAGAACCGGTAGAATGAATATATTATATAGAGAGATTTATCAGCTTAGCTCACAGGATAGAGTCCGAGTAGTCCAACAATGGCTGCACCACACTGGAGAGGCTGAGAATCCGTAGTCGCTCAGTCCACGAGGCTGGGTGTCTCAGTAGTCCCAATCTGGCGCTGAAGGTCTGACAAATTCCAAAAGATCAGCTAGTCTTCAGTCTACAGCAGCAAGACGAACTCACCAGTGAGAGAGAAGGCAAGCAGCAAGAAGCCAGGTATTCTCTGCCTTGGCCTTTATACCAGCTGCCATCAGAAGGTAACACCCACATTTAGGGTGTGTCTTCCGGCTTCAGATGATCCAATCAAGATCTCTCTCATTTCAGTTAATCCCAGATCCAGTCAAGTTGACACCCAGGATTAGCCATCACAATACTGAACCAGGAAGATGATGAGTTTGAGACCAACCTGGGCTTCATAGACAGACCTTGTCTCAAAGAAAAACAAACAAAAACCTCACAAGGAGATTCTGACCAGCCACTGGCTCCCAGAGAAGATTTCAAATCCAGTCAGATAGAGTTGAGCAACTTGGTTCCAGTAGTGGGAACCACTGCAGTCATGGCTGCCAGTCCAAACCCAGCTTTGCTTTGGGAGACTCTGCTTCAGTCTTAGCTGCTGCAGCTCCCAGATATCTCACCTTGACCCTTAGATGACCCCACCTCCAGCCATCCTGGGCCTCTTGGCAGTAGTTCTCTGTCTGGGCGGAATACTCCCCCCACCCCATGACAGCTTGTGTACATGTGTGACTAGGTATGACGCACTCCTCTTTCCAGGCAGCCTAGGAGACCTCCTTCCCATGCATGGTCTTCTCAGGTGCTGCCACCCAGGCCCCAGTAAAGCCTCATCTGATTGATTGCCTACGTGTGCGC